TGGGTTCAGGTCCTGGGGAATTTGAAAAAGTTTGTTAAATAAAATATATATTTTTCAAATATCTAAGTAAGTTAACAGTATTTCTTGTTTAGAAATGATGAGTAAATGGTTCTGGCTTAACTCCAATCATTCTTCCCAAACTAGAATGTCCTCCACTCACCCATTTCAAATTCTAAGTATTTTCTTCTTTCTCTAAATTCTTACTATTTCCTTCCAGATCAGACATGTAATGTCTATGATGCAACACCATGACTTGCAACAATTTGTAGTAAATGCATTCAACTAAAATAGGAGCACTTGGAAGTCAAACAACTTATCTTTACTTTTGTCACTCTTAGCGCCTACTACTGCCTTACATATAGTAAGTACTCAATAAATATCTTCTAATTAAATATATGTATTTTAGAATTTAAGGCATAGTTTTCTATTCCTTAATTTAACAGACATTCATCACTTTTCTCATCCTTCCACATTCCATACCTAGTATAACCAGCATGAAAGGAAATTTCACATACACAGAAATGTGGGATACTAATGGTTGCAAGATGAGAGCCTTTCTTTCCTCTCTGACGTATCTCCTCTTTTGGCAGCGGGAGCGGGGGGCCCGGCTTAGGCCGCCAACTTTGGTTCCATTATGTGGCCTTATGCTTATTCTATCCATATTCCATTCCCTTCTCCTATTTTCTTTTATTCTAGAGACAAATAACCTAATAATCAGCAGTTTAGCAATGATATAATCTCTAAACCACAGATGATAGAAACTAATTCAAGTTTCAAAAGAAGTTTAACAACCAAATTGTAAAATAAGCACTAGCCATGTATGCAGTTATAATTTAATGATAAGTATTATAAAGGAAGTCAGGACAATGGAAGAATTTTTTTTTTTTTTTGAGACAGAGTCTTACTGTCACCCAGGCTGGAATGCAGTGGTGCGAACTCGGCTCACTACAACCTTTGCCTTCCAGTTTCAAGCAAGTCTCCTGCCTCAGCCTCCAGAGCAGCTGGAACTATAGGCACTTGCCACCACGCCTAGCTAATTTTTTTCTATTTTTAGTGGAGACAGGGTTTCACCATGTTAGCCAGGATGGTCTCAATCTCCTGACCTCATGATCTGCCCACCTCAGCCTCCCAAAGTGCTGGGATTACAAGCATGAGCCACTGAGACTGGCCATAGAAGAAAGAATTTCAAAGGGATAAGTGATATGCTTAAGAAATCAAATAACTGACTAATTTTGTAAAGCAGTGTTTTTATGGGGTAAAACTAGCATCTTTTGTGGGATAATTCCTTCTTTTAGTTCTGTTCAGATGTTTAGCATCCATCCCTGGCTCATAGTTACCTAATAACAATAGGCTCCCATTCCTCATCCCATCCCGGGTATTTAATATCACTATGCATTTCCAAATGCAGGACTGTATAGTTCCCAATTAAGAACCACCACTATGATGAATTAAAACAGTCAACTTTAAGAAGAAAAAAATGTATCATTGAACGCAAAAAAGCTTGGACATCTGAAAGAAGTATTTAGTTTTTCTAAAAAAAAAAAAAAAATTATAAAGTATTATACATTTTTAAAAGCTTTGAATAAAGACAATTTCAAAAGATCCTGTCCCAGCGTTCGAGACCATCCTGGCCAACATAGTGAACCCTGTCTCTACTAAAAATATAAAAATGAGCCAGGCATGGTGGCAATCACCTGTAATCCCCACTACTCTGGAGGCTGAGGCAAAAGAATTGCTTGAACCTGGGCGGTGGAGGTTGCAGTGAGCCAAGATCATACCACTGCGCTTCAGCCTGGGTGACAGAGCAAGACTCCTTCTCAGTGGAGGAAAAAAAGAGTCTGTCCTTTCCAATATTTAGCAATATCTAACATAGAAGTTTTGAAACTGGCCAGGTACAGTGGTGGCTCACGTCTGTAATCCCAGAACTTTGGGAGGCTGAGGCAGATGGATTGCTTGATCTCAGGAGTTTGACACCAGCCTGGGCAACATGGCAAAATCCATCTCTACTAAAAACTACAAAAATTAACTGGGCATGGCGGCACGTGCCTATCGTCCGTCCCAGCTACTGGTGGGGCTAGAGAATCACATGAACCCAGGAGGCAGAGGTTGCAGTGAGCCGAGATCATGCCACTGCACTCCAGCCTGCACAACAGAGTGAGATTCTGTCTCAAAAAAAAAAAAAGAATTAGTTTTGAAACCATGTTACATATATCTAAAACTGCATGGGAGGTACCCTGCACATGCAGATAAATAGAGATAATAACCTAATCATCAGCAGTTTAGCAATGATATAATCTCTAAACCACAGATGACAGAAACTGATTCAAGTTTCAAAAGAAGTTTAACAACCAAATTGTAAAATAAGCACTAGACCTGTATGCAGTTGTAATTTAGTAAGTATTATATAGGAAGTCAGGACAATGAAAGCAAACCCTTTGTGTCAATTTAGTAGATGACACCACTAAAAAATATTACTTAAGAAGCAAAATAGGAAAGACATTTATCATTCAATACATATACTCTTTCAAAAATATGTCACCATACCATCTTCAATGACACGTCCTTTATCATCCAGCATGCCCTGAATTTCACAGCCTCTGACATAAACCAGGCCAACCTGCTCAATAAAAGGTCTCCTTCGGTCAAACTTAGTGCCATAAGGTTTTGTGGGACGTACAGTAATTAAAAAGCATACATCATGCTTACGAAGACCTGGTAAGATATAAAGACATTTTCATTTATTAGAATTTCATTGTTTTCAGTCTTTTGTAGGCAAATTCTAATTTGTCTCTCTACCTCTTATCTTTGGTAGAGAGATATCGTGAGTGACCAGTGATTACTATTGCACTGTAACACAATTATGGGCTTTTCTATAACCTTTAATACTCAATATTTCATAGCATTAATTGAAATGAAAACCTCTTTATATTAAAATTAGAAACATTCATGCCAGGAATACATTACTGAATAAGCCCTCCAAGTCATGCTACAGCTCCAAAATTGGATGTTCGTCATCATTCTTATTTTTAACATTCTTAATAAGTAACCAAAAATACAGTTGGCATACAATCCATCTATATCATATTTAGCAGGTTTTTAATATCAGTTTAAACTATCTATCAGTGTTCTTCCGAACACAGCCTAATTGTATTTCACTAAAACAGGTTAACTCTAGAATAATTCATCAGGGCAAAAAAGTATTGTTTACAGATATGATCTTGAGAAAGCTGGTTGAATATATACAGTTTCAATTGGCAAATAATGAATATTTTTATAAGTGATTATCAAGAAACAGAAGTATTGTGCCAAAGTCCATAGCTTCTCAGCCCACTAGACCCAATAATGGAATCAAATGGCTTCCCAGCTCCATTAAAAGTAGAGAAACTGGAAGACAAGGATTATAAAATTAGACCATACAACATGTAATGCTACACCACTTAATCTTCATTCCATTTCCGATGTTTTTTTTAAGCCATTATATGACATAAATGTAAATGTAAACAGTCTGCTTGCTCATAATCTTATTAACAACAAACACAATGAAATCAAATCAGCAATGTGGGTGTATAGCTAATAGTACTGAAAAGATTTTGGTTTGTTTTAATTGGGGGACTGGATAGAGTGTTGGTAAAGGTAGAAATAATAACTCTATTCATAATACTGAATTATTTCCCAATAAATTCTATGCAAAGCAGCAAGAGAAGTAATGAGAATGAACCAGGAATCGTTCTACTATCTGAGTTGTACTACTTGCATGATGTCTGATCTGCACAACTCATTAAAACTTCTAAGTCTAGGCCAGCCGCAGTGGCTCACGCCTGTAATCCCGGCACTTTGGGAGGCTGAGGTGGGTGGATCACCTGAGGTCAGGAGTTCAAGACCAGCTCGGTCAACATGGTGAAATCCTGTCTCTACTAAATATACAAAAATTAGCTGGGCGTGGTGGTGGGCACCTGTAATCCCAGCTACTTGGGAGGCTGAGGCAGGAGAATTGCTTGAACCCAGGAGGGGGAGGTTGCATTGAGCCAAGATCAAGCCACTGCCTCCAGCTTGGGTGACAGAGAGAAACTCTGTCTCAAAACAACAACAACAAAAAACAACTTCTAAGTCTAAAAGCCAAAGGAGGGGTCCTGAGAAGTCACTAATCCTCTACCAAGATAGGAGTTACTTTCTGGCATCACCAAGGAATGACCTCTTGTTCCTTCCTAAAGCAAACCACTTTAGTCTCTGACATCTTAGATCTACATTTTTTAAAATCCTGTATTACAATGGGCTCAACTCTCTCCTTACGACCATTTGTATCCACCCAATCCTAGCTGTGCTTTCTACAGTATTTCCATTTCATTAATTCTGTTTCCTTAACTTTAAATGAGAATACTGAAGATAAGGGCTTGAGGTTCACACCTTTTCAAAGGGACAAGCCGAATGTTTTATGGTATTTAAAAATCTTTAAAATTTACTTTTATAAAACAATATTCATTATTGTTTACAAAATCTCTCCTTTTTGCTCCCATTTTCTATTTGGCTATCCCATCTGTGATCAATAAAGGGGCTGGTTTTTGGCCCAGGCCTCCCAGAGAACACTTTTCTCTCCATCATACCCCAGATTATCACTCATCCCACAATACCCTACTAACGTACCCATTCCAGTTCTCATTCTACCAGAGGCCGATGTGTAAAAGAAAAAAAGACTGTCTCATGCCCTTCTGAAAGCAGTCAGTAATGGGGGAAGTGGCTTGCTTGTCTGGGTAAAACATCCTTTTGTTTTCTTTAACACCAAAATGCAGACTGTCATCTATAAATTCCTATAAAAAGTCATTTAAAATAAAAAAAATTCCAACCACTTACTACTTCTGCGGTACCCAGTAAGTTATCTCAGTTTACTACCCACTGTGTAAAACAGTATTTAATATCTCCTTAAGCTTCAAGGAATAATAAATATAAAACCTTCTCCAGCAACTTAATGGCTTTCTAAACGTCCAGCAATAATAAAGGTGTACCGCCTGTCTGTCCAAGCCCAGGCACAGGTCTTCATTCCTTCCTGCGATCCCCAAGGAAGCCCTCTCTCCCCAGACATGGCCAACAAGGGTCCTTCCTATGGCATGAGCCGCGAAGTGCAGTCCAAAATCGAGAAGAAATAAGATGAGGAGCTGAAAGAGCGGCTGGTGGAATGGATTATAGTGCAGTGTGGCACTGATGTGGGCCGCCCAGACCATGGGCGCCTGGGCTTCCAGGTCTGGCTGAAGAATGGCGTGATTCTGAGCAAGCTGGTGAATAGCCTGTACCCTGATGGCTCCAAGCCAGTGAAGGTGCCTGAGAACCTGCCCTCCATGGTCTTCAAGCAGATGGAGCAGGTGGCCCAGTTCCTGAAGGCAGCTGAGGACTATGGGGTCACCAAGACTGACATGTTCCAGACTGTTGACCTCTTTGAAGGCAAAGACAAGGCAGCAGTGCAGAGGACCCTGATGGCTTTGTGCAGCTTGGCAGTGACCAAGAATGATGGGCACTACCATGGAGATCCCAACTGGTTTATGAAGAAAGCGCAGGAGCATAAGAGAGAATTCACAGAGAGCCAGCTGCAGGAGGGAAAGCATGTCATTGGCCTTCAGATGGGCAGCAACAGAGGGGCCTCCCAGGCTGGCATGACGGGCTATGGACGACCTCAGCAGATCATCAGTTAGAGGGGAGAGGGCCAGCCCTGAGCCCTGCCCTCCCCCAGCTCCTTGGCTGCAGCCATCCTGCTTAGCCTGCCTCACCCACACCTGTGTGGTACCTTCAGCCCTGGCCAAGCTTTGAGGCTCTGTCCCTGAGCAATGGTAACTGCACATGGGCAGCTCCTTCCCCTTCCCCCAGCTCAACTTCTTATCCCAAAGCATCACTGCCCTGGCCCCTCCCACCCAGCTGCCCCCACCACCCCTACTGTGAAGCGGTCTGGGGGTAGCCTGGATATGGGTCAAGTCCACTGTCTTTGGCAGCAGAAGCTCATTGAAGAAGAACCAGCCCAGCCTCCCCCATCTTTTCCTGGAATATTTTTGGGGTTGGAACTCAAAAAGGAAAAAAAAAAAACAAAAATATATCAATCTTTTCTCAGAAAAAATAAAAAATAAAAAATAAATAAATTTTCTAGATGAATAATATATCAGAATGAAACTCTTTTGAAGGACATAGGGGTCATAAAAATAATCTGTCACAAACCATATGCACTATAGTAGGCATTTGTTAAACATCTGGCTAGCTTTGGTGCTGGATTCCTTCGAAATTCTTTGATAATGATATAGTTCCCATGATTATAAACAGCTACGTTGGTAGTAATAATTTCTGAAAACAAATCTATTAAAGGACTTTCCCTTTCCATCTGGGATGCCAAGAAGGTAAAAAAAGGTAAAACCTACTGACTACTGTTTCTCAAAACAGGGCATCAAATAACACCTCTCACAGGACAGCTGGGAGAAAAATATAAAAGTACTAATTAGAAATCAGTTCATATGTCACTTCTAGCATAGGTCTTATTGATGTTTTAACTCTATTGGACTTAGTAACTTTGAACATATCCGCCTCCAAAACAAATTAATTTTGACATGGAACGTTCATCCTTAAAATCTTGCCTAGCAAAAAATAGGAGAAATAACTCCTTTAATTTCTTGGAGTTATTTATAATAATTTCTTCAATTATTATATATGCTCAAGTATATTTGTTTTCACTGATTCTTTATCCTTTCTTAGGTGCAAATAAACTATTATTTATTTCTGAGTTGTTTGGATTTTTTATTTTTATTTTCCACAAAGTATATGCATTTCTATTCTTTTCACCTTGGCTACTTTTATCTTTTGAAAAATACCAATTTTCCTTACTTACTGCTCTGCATGTTTATCCATTATATGTGGGTTTTTTCCCTGCTCTTTGGCTAACACTAATATTTTTATTTTTTTATATTGATTCCACAAATCTATAAATATTATCTTGCTAAATTTAAGACTTAAAGCGCTCTCCTCTAAGCTTTGCGAACTTCAGTGTTCAAAGCTTTGATATGCATGCAAGTTTATGCTTTTTATTATAATATTAAGATACCTACATATTCTCATATGATCCCCGGTATTTTTATTTATTTTTTATTTTTACCCTATAAAATAAAGCTTTACACACAAATGGAAACTTGCTACAACCCAAATTACAGAATGAAATGCCACCTATGTAACACAAAATGGCAATAAAAAAAACAAATTAAACGTAGGCCTAGATTATTTGAAACCATACGTGACATAATTTGTTAGTATAGAACACTGTAGACAGTAGTCAGGGCACTGTCTTAGCCTAATAATCTTAGGGCAGCCTGATTGCTCCTAAATAAAATGAGAATTTAGACTAATCACTTAACTATTTTTTTTAAGTTCTGGGGTACATGTGCAGATTGTGCAGAATTGTTACACAGGCACACACATGCCATGGTGGTTTGCTGCCTCCATCCCCTAGGTATTTCTCCTAATGTCATGTAACGCCACACACCTACAACCGTCTGATCTTTGACAAACCTGCAAAAACAAGCAATGGGGAAAGGATTCCCTGTTTAATAAACGGTGTTGGGAAAACTGGCTAGCAATGTGCAGAAGGCTGAAACTGGACCCCTTCTTTATACCTTATACAAAAATTAACTCCAGGTAGATTAAAGACTTAAACATAAGACCTAACACCATAAAAACCCTAGAAGAAAACCTAGGCAATACCATATATGACATAGGCATGGGCAAAGACTTTATGACTAAAACACCAAAAGCAATGGCAAAAAGAGCCAAAATAGACATATGGGATCTAATTAAACTTACGAGCTTCTACACAGCAAAAGAAACTATCATTAAAGTGAACCAGTAACCAACAAAATGGAATAAAATTTTTGCAAGCTACTCATCTGACAAAGGGCTAATATTCAGAATCTACAAAGAACTAAAACAAACATACAAGAAAAAAACAAACAACCCCATCAAAAAGTGGGCAAAGGATATGAACAGACACTTTTCAAAAGAAGACATTTATGTGGCCAACAAACATACAAAAAAATGCTCATCATCACTGGTGAGTAGAGAAACACAAATCAGTCTCCGCTGCGAGCTTCCAAGATGACAAAGAAAAGAAGGAACAACGGTCGTGCCAAAAAGGGCCACGGCCATGTTCAGCCTATTCGCTGCATGAATTGTGCCTGATGCGTGCCCAAGGATAAGGCCATTAAGAAATTCGTCATTCGAAACATAGTGGAGGCCGCAGCAGTCAGGGATATTTCTGAAGCGAGCGTCTTTGATGCCCATGTACTTCCCAAGCTCTATGTGAAGCTACATTACTGTGTGAGTTGTGCAGTTCACAGCAAAGTAGTCAGGAATCGATCTCATGAAGCCTGCAAGGACCGAACACCCCCACCCCGATTTAGACCTGCGGGTGCTGCCCCATGACCCCCACCAAAACCGATGTAAGGAGCTGAGTAAAAGACTGAAGATAACTATTCTCTGGAGAAAAATAAAATGGAAATTGTACTTGATATTGCCTATTAAGTGTATCTGTGCCAGATAGGGTGGGGATTTTGTGTGTGTTAGACCAAGTGTGAAATAACAAGTAGTATTTTCATGGGGAACAAAGCTTATTTATGTAATCAATTTTTTTTGTTGTTGGTGGGAAGGGGTGGGAGATGTAGTCTTGCTCCGTTGTCCGGGCTGGGGTGCAATGGTGCTATCTCAGCTCATTGCAACCTCTGCCTCCTGGGTTCAAGCAATTCTCCTGCCTTGGCTTTCCAAGTAGCTAGGATTCGAGACATGTGCCACCACACCCAGCTAATTTTTTGTATTTTAAGTAGAGATAGGGTTTTACTATATTGGCCAGGCTGCTCTGGAACTCCTGACCTCAGATAATTCACCCCTTATCTTATTTAGGCCTCCCAAAGTGCTGGGATTACAGGTGTGAGCCATCATGCCTGGCTATTCATTTAAATTAAACCTTGTTTGTAGTCATGTCCTTGGCTTCACAACTTGCTGTGTGAAATAAAAAGTTTAGGCATCTGTAAAAAAAAAAAAAAAAAGAGAAACACAAATCAAAACCACACTGAGGCATCAGTTCATGCCATCAGTTAGAATGGCAATCATTTAAAAATCTGGAGAGAACAGATGCTGGAGAGGATGTGGAGAAATAGGAACACTTTTACACTGTTGGTGGAAATGTAAATTAGTTCAACCATTATGGAAGACAGTATGGCAATTCCTCAAAGATCAAGAAACAGAGGTGCCATTTGACCCAGCAATCCCATTACTGGGTATATACCCAAAAAAACGTAAACTGTTCTATTATTATAAAGACACATGCACACGTATGTTCACACGGCATTGTTTACAATAGCAAAGACCTGGAACCAACCCATATGCCCATCAATAATAGACTGGATAAAGAAAATGTGGCACATATACACCATAGAATATTATGCAGCTATAAAAAAGGATGAGTTCATGTCCTTTGCAGGGGCATGGATGAATCTGGAAACCATCATTCTCAGCAAACTGATAAAAGAACAGAAAACCAAACACCACATGTTCTCACTTATAAGTGGATGTTGAACAATGAGAACATATGGACACAGGAGGGGAACATCACACACTGGAGTCTGTTGGGAGATGGGGGGCTAGGGGAGGGGTAACAGGGGGTGGGGATTGGGGAGGGATCCCTGGTATTTTTAAAACTAATAATTAGAAAGAAAATTGCTATTCTTTAAATCAAATTTCAAGAATAAAGTTTAATAAAAGCTTAAAAGGATAACATTTAGTAAAAGTACCTTGTTATTGCTCTAAGTGAAAGTTCGTAACAAGGCAAATGGTAACATAACTTTTTGAAACATAAAAAATTACCTTCCCATTCATCTTTGATGTGATCTCTGACATTCAGATTTATGGTAACATCTGCACGAACTCGGGTTGGCCAGTTTTCACCTATGTTGGGTTTGGCAACTTCAACTACAGTGAAAGCCACGATTGGCTGGGCCATTCTCGCCCAGCCACCAAATACTACACCGCCGTATTCAGACTGCCTGAAACCAAAGAAATGGATGATTACTCAAACAAAAAATAATTTATCCCCAACTTTTAGACAGGTAAAACTAGTAAGCAGGAATACTGTTTAGCTAGTATTTAAGCCCTAAATTGGTAACCCTTATTTCTAAACTTAAAAAAAAATAATTTAAAAACCTTTAACTCTCAATGTATAGAAAGTATATATGATAGTATGAAACAGATAATATGGTCCAGAAAAGAAACGAAAGTAGAGGAATATCTCCTCCCCAATCTAAGAAAAAAGCTAACCCTATGTGCATAAGAACATTCTGGGGCTGAGCCACTGTATCAAAGAAATAAAGAATCTAGCACACTTAGTTTTATTTCAGCTTTACTGAGGTATACTTGACAAAAATTGCATACAGTTAATGAATACAATGTGATGTTTTAAACTATGTATACAGGGTGATATTATTACCAACACAGTTATCATTTTTTGTGTATGTGGTAAGAATACTTAAGAGCTACCCTGGCAAGTTTTAAGTACATAAAACATTAATTATAGTCACTATGCTTTACATTAGATCTCCAAACTTATGCATCCTATAACTGAAAGTTTAGATCTTTTGACCAACATGTCCCCATTTCTCCCACCCACAACCTGGTAACTGCCCTTCTACTGCTTCTATGAGTTTGCCTCTTTTGGGTTCCATATGGAAAGTGAGATCATCAGTTTTTGTCAATCTGTACTGGCTTAATACATTTAGCATAATGTACTCCAGGTTTATCCATGTTGTCAAAAAAAGGATTTCCTTCTTTTTAAAAGTCAAATCATATTCCATTATATGTTTTTATATATGTACACACACACCACCACATTTCTTTATCCAATCATCCCTTAAGTTGTTTCCACATTTTGGTTATTGTGAATAAAGCTGCAATAACCACAAGAGTGCAGATACCACTTTGGGGTAGCAATTTTATTTCCTTCAGATAAATATTCAGAAGTGGGTTTGCTGGATCATAT